CAAAACATCATCTGGTATAGGCAACAACACACCCCCTCTAACGCAATATCAAACGATACTTTCAAAAATCCAGTAGGGAGCGTTTTATGGTGAAGTAGGTCTCCTAAAGTGTTATGCACTTTTCCCTTGCCAACCATGCGATAAGTCGGTGATGATAAATATAGCCGACAAGGTGAAATGCCCTAAACAAATAATGAACATGATTAATGTGTCAATTAAGAAAATTGTGCTATATTAATTTCAATGTAATATATACAATTACCTCTGGAAGCTTCTGCAGACAATTGATACTATTTTTATCGCTAGTATCTTTACACTCTGGACCGCGTATTTCTGACATGTATCTCTCTTTGTCCTTCTGTAACTCACGAATCTGAGCTTTCAATTCCTCCAACGTCTCCATCACTTCTTTATTGCTAGGATTTTTATTCTTTGAATGCTTATATAGTTTTGATGGAGTGACACCAAATCCCTTACCCCTCACACGCCCAGAATACTCAGGAATATTTAACACCCGACTCAATAAACTCCTGCAATCATCGTCCTCAGCTGCAGTTATAGTCTGGGATAGAGTCTCTTGAAATATAGATAAAAGCATATATAAATATATTATACACTTTTGAGTTACTGACAAAACTAATGTTGTACTTACACATTGTTCAAATACTTGTTGAACTTCTTCCTGAACGACTCCATCTCTTCCCACACGGGCAACCTTCCACACAACATGGTCCGGAAGAGATGTTGCATCACTTTTCTCCTCTTCTAACTACACATTAAGACGGATAATAAAAGATTCATACCCAATTATATATACTTACTATTTTTTGTAACTATATAATATTAAAGCATTTATATATACTTACTATTTTTTGTTGTAAGCGTGCATATCCCAAACACCCTTTTTTGTATGGATACGTGGGTTTTGATGCCCGTTTCCGATTTACGTCACTCACAACCTGAAAAAACAAGTTTAAGTCACTAGTAGAAAAAATACTTTATAGTATAGGCTGTTAAGTCAGTTCACCTGCCACCTGACTTAAGAAGTGATGCGGTGGCAATTTCGTAAATATTTGTAACATTGTTAGGTCAATTATATTTAGAACTGACTTAAAAAATATTAAAGAAAAAAAAAATAATTCGTATTAAATTTCTTAAGTCACCTCTGTTCACTAACTGACTTAAAAAACATATTTATTAAGTCAGGTATTACCCACCTGACCTAAGAAGTTTTATTCAATACCTTCCTTGACCTAGAACAACCTTCATCCCCACTATTTCTCTCCTTCTTCTCCAAAACCTTCCAGTTCTCACCATCTCTGAATAACCCTTTCCATCTTCGTTCTCTCCTCCTCATCACCCAAATCTTCCCTTCATCAACCCCTTAACCATCACCTGCGACACCCTTTCCTTTTCTCTATTTCCTCTCATCTCCTCTACTTCCGAAAACCCTAACCCTTCTTCTTCTGCCGCTCCCATCACCACCATTCTTTCAACCTCCTGGCTCCGCTAACGTGACCACCATCACCACCACCCCTTAAAATCCTCCTGCCATTCCCATCGCCACACATCACCTTACCGTAAACCCCATCTCCCCCGATCTCCTTCCACCATCAAAATTATGCATCGACCGCGTTCACCACGATTCACCACCCTTTCTCCAATTTTTTTATACAAAATTTCCCCTTACATCTACTTCTCATAAAAACCACTGTGAACCTCCCGTAGAACAATTTTGAACGCTTTTGATTCAGATCCTTCACCATCAATCGCAATTAAGATTTGGGAATTTCCTTCTGGTTTGGTTTCGATGCTGTGTTATTTATTTTTAGGTTCAATCACTGGTTCAAACGGTTTGGTTCGAATAGAGCAATTTTGATACTTACGGGGTGCTGCTGTTATGTTTCTATGATGTAAAAGGGTGACTTATGCTGCTGCACTGAAAAGGGGTAAAGTAGCCACTGAACCTCTTCATCTATTTGGTCCGGCAACACTGCTTTGGTCTGGCAACACTGCTTCATTCAAACGACAGTTACTCAAGTATCCAAGATACAACTTCATTGCTCAATACTACAATAACACGACTCTGCAAAAGTCTCTTATAACAATAGTTGTCCCACGTTCGGTAACATTTTCAACTAGGAATTACAATTTCGAACTTGTCTAATGTTCTAATTCTTTTTCGCATTTACACTTTATCTACTACCATGATGTCTGTTTCAGTTTTCGGTCAATTACATTGCATATATGCTACTGCATAGTTACTGTCCTATTTCAATTTGCAATTTGAGCTTATTGTGTTAGGGATGGATTTTGATTATGTTTCAATTATATTAGGGTGTAATAAGGCACTATTTATGTAGCTACTGCTGTTGCTGCCATACTGAGATGAGATAGTACAAAATTAGTGAAATGTTGTTATTACTGTGTGAGTTTGTGATGGCCTGCAGATGGTAAACCAAGGAGAAGTCAAAATTGGTGATCTTGGTCTCGCTGCAATTGTCTGCAGATCTAATGATGTTCACCGTGGTATGTAAACCAGAATGACTTATTTCCTTTGAATAAGTCAATTATAACAAGCTCTATATCGATTTCATGTTTATTTTTTCTTTTGTTGTTTGTAGGGTTTTGAACTTTTTAATATTAGTTTTTATGCTCAAGTTAAAGGGGTTTTGAACTTTTTAATAAAAACTAATCTTCTATGAAAAACTCAAGAATTTCCATTTCCTTCCTCCACTGGCCTTTTACATATATATGATTATGATAATAAGAAAGCAATGAATCGGATCAAAACATGGTTGGAGATTCCATTGCATTTTCATTGGGTCTTGCAACCACATTAGCGCTACTGGGCGTAGGAGCTTCATTTGCAGGAAAGGCTTATGGACAGATTGGCCAAGGATTACCTTTGGGTGCTTCTGGTTTGGCTGTAGTTATGGGTCTGAACCTTCTTGAGGTAGTGAAACAATTTCTCTTCCACAACTTTATATTCTAAACGTGACAAACTTTCAAGTTTGTGCTGTCGATTTTCTTATTTTGTTGTTTAATTTCCCCGTGCTTACAATGATATTCAGAATCTAACTCTCAGTTTGCAATGTTATTATTCACTGAATTTTTCAAAGTCATATTTTGCACCCTTTTCTAAATAAGATCTTTACATCTTGTAAAACAGTACAGTATCTTAGGCCTGTTAAAGTAGACTTATAATTTTCTGACGACATAATTTCTTTCGCTCTTAACTATCTAAGATCAAGTTATGTAATCAAATGTTCAGCTAATCTTTACATTAGTTACTTTAAGCTCAGTGCATTTTCATCAGAGATAGTCTGATGCGTGCCATCTATGTTTTGCAAGAAAACATTCCTCAAATTTCAAAGATTTTTAGATTAAGCCACTGACTCACTGAATCTAGTTCTTATAAGTTAACAAAACTATAAAAACTTTCTCGGGTAGAATTTTTGGCTGTTGTATTCACCTTGAGAAAAAAATTTCAGATAATTGAATTATAGCTCCCCTCATTCTTCGACAGTTTTGATCCACGTTCTGTGGCTGCCAATTTTCCATCAAGTAAGTCAATGCTCTAATGCTCACTTCTTTTGTTTTTTCAGTATGTTTTTCAATGTAGAGAATTTAACATGAAGGAGTTCTACTCTTAGGTGTGCAAGCATATTTGGTTGGGCTTACATTTGCATTAGCTGCCTCACCATGCAGTATACCTGTTCTGGCTACCCTTCTGGGATATGTCGCCGCATCCAAGGTACTTATTGTTTGTAACCAATATTGCTTCATGATGGCAACATTTATATGATGTGTTGAAAGAGAACCAAGGGTAAATCAGTGTTATTTGCTCATTAGTTTCGGCTTAAAAACTCACCGGTCAAGTAGATTTTGTTGGTTGCATTTTAAATCTAATATGTCAAGTAAACTATGTTTGTGATGTTTTTGCACCTGATGACAAATGGCTTTCTAGTGCATTGAATATATAATCATGCAGTTTTGCTGCATATCAAGGAATATATGTACGAATTGTGCTTATTAATATCTTACAATACATGCGAGTCATGTTTTGATTGGATACAAATCCCTATTGTTTTTTATATTTCGGACATGAACTCTGTCATGAATCCTGATTCTTTCAAATGAATTATTACAAAAACTTAAGTGTAGTCGGCCACGGTTTTTGTCAACTTTGCCTCCGATGAATATTTCTTTATAGAATCCAGTGATTGGAGGCAGTTTGCTTTTTACATACACAACAGGATACATTTCTCCCTTACTTTTGGCTGCTTCTTTTGCTGGCGCCTTACAGGTTCATAAACATTTTCTTTTGGTTTTATAGTGTAACCTTTAAGAGATATATAATCTCATTGAAAACCATGTTCTCATTCAAATCTGTATTGACAGAGTTTGCTTTCATTTCGCAAGTACTCAGCATGGATCAATCCTGTAAGGTAATTTTTTTTTGAATTTTTCATTAAGCACTTGAAGGTAGCACTGTTGTTCCCCCTTACACATCATCACACACTGACTACTTGGTAGTTTCAAGAGTTTCCACTTGTTAATTGAATAACTTGTATATTTTCCATGTTTCTGGTTTTTGCTTGTTCAACAACGGAGCAATGCTGTTAGGAGGTGGTGTATATACCTTCTTAGATAGGCTCTTCCCAGCCACAACGGCAATGTAGAAAATCTCGTGGCTCTTTAATATGCAGTGATCTTTTACTTGAAAACAGTTACATATGTGCTTGTGTGTGTATATAAGGAATTCAAATGAGTGTAAATCCTTCCTCTTGACCCTTATATATTCAAAATTTCTGATGTTGTTAAAGAAAGACAAATTCATTGTTTAGGCACATAAGATAGAATCTCTTGAATGCTGTGGCCACAATTGGTATTGTTATTAAAAAAGTAAGTAGTGCACAAAGTAATCAAAACCAGAACAGTTATCGAAAAATACATTAGGGTAGGTTGATGAAGCTGAATTAGAGGAGAGTTTAGGAATGCAAAATGTGGTGTACTTAAACAAACTTCATGACCTTCCCTTGTCTTCTGGCGATGTTTCTAATACCGACATTGCAACCGCCTTGGATAGCCTTGGACTGGTCAGTAAATTTTCTTTTGCTTTCACTATATATGTGTTTCAATATAACAGATCTTTTATTTCGAGCATAAAGTTAGACTACATAATTTAGATAGCTGGCATATGTTTGTTTTTGGTGAATCTGATCTCAGAGCATAAGAGCACGGCTATGCCTTAGAGCTGCTGGGGTGTTAGAAAAGCAAAAAGAAAGGAATGAGGAGAAAATAAAAAAGGAGATTGAGGAGAAGGCTGTGGAAAGCATGAGGGATTTGGAAGAGTACAAAGCAACATGCGAGATAAACAAGGGAAAAGGTTATTATGATGCCTTCATGGTGCAAAAGAAGGAAAAGGATTTCCAAGCAAACGTAAAGAGGCTTGTGCTTGCAGGAGTATGGGATGAGTGGGTCTATTTTTTTATTCTTGAAACTATCTTACCTTGTATGTTGTTTTTCATTATAATGTTGTTGGTTCATGGACACATGTAAGTAATATAATATTTTTAGCAAGTTGTATCAATTAATTACAAAAAATCATGTTGATATATTAATTTAATTTTTAGCAAGTTGTATCAATTAATTACAAAAATCTGTGATCTTTGTTGTCTGATTTTTTTGTGGTGTAATTTGTTGATTGAGTTGGATAGTCTGATTTGGGGGTAAATTGTTAAATGGAAAAACTGCATCTGATTTGTATGATTATCCAAAAAAAAACAACTTCTTAGGTCGGTTAATTATACCTGATTTAAGAAAGTAAGTTCTTAGGTCGGGTATAAATGGTTTCTGCAGGCTAGACTTATTAAGTCAGGTTCTGTCTAACCGACCTAATAATAGTTTGTTAAGTTAGGTCCACAACCGACTTAAGAAGTCAAAACTTCTTATGTCGGTAATTCTTAGGTCGGGCTCAGACCCGACTTAAAAAGTCATTTTTAACCGAATTAAAAAGTCTTTTTTCCACTAGTGAGTCATATCAGAACTCCTGTGGAATAAGTATATATATTATACATTGTTCATGATAAGTTGTACTTACGCAAAATTCTTTGGTTCTTCGCTTGGCAACAAATGTCTCCCATTCTTCATCTGAAATCAGATCAACGTACTTCTTTGGATGATCTGATTCGACAAAGTTTCCATCAGAATCTTTAAGAAACTTGTTCGTTAAAAACGCTTTAAATCCTCTCAGTCATTTTCCGGCCAATTGAAGACAATATTTTCTCCTGCAATCATCAATATTAAAAGATCTCTGCAAACAAATAAACATACATATAACATGTTAGTATAATTAATTTAAAGATGTAACCGTCAACATAATTAAAAAATATCAAATATCATACCTGTATCTCGCTCCAAATTTTGTCTTTAACCGGTTGTAACGAAGGAATTCTCCAATTATCGCAAGTAATTGGAATTTGCGAACGAACAAGTGCTCCAATGTAACTTGTCAGCATCGCACCGTAAGGCTCAATTAATTGATCTCTTTCATTCCAATGCACATCATACTTTACACCTTTATCTCTCGCACGAATGATTTTTTTCATTATCGTTATTTCTCTTTTAATATCGCCTTCCACGTCTTTTGTTGTTTCGTTTCCATCATGTGAATTTTCCTCGTTGGTGGCCATAATACCTGTAATTCAAAAAATCCAAATTATCAAATGAATGACAAAGAAATATATACATAATTAATAACATCATCAACATTAAATAATTCTTGGAACATCAATTGTTGATAAAAACTTGCAATAATGTAACAACTTCTTATATAGTTGATAATTTCTTTTAATAAAGCCTTATAATATTAAAAGAAAAAGGTGGAACAACTAAGTAACTATAAAATGAGGAACAAAATAAAATACCATAAAAAACGAGAAAACTTAAAGAAAGTTATACCTAACATATTTTTTACAAATTAAAATTCTCTTTAATTCTAATAGGGATAGAAACAAAAGTAATTAAAAAATCTGCACTGCTACTTATATTAGCAAAAAAAAAATCAACGCAAAAATTCTCTTATCTAACAATGTGTGTGAAAGTAATATTTGTAAAGTTAGTGTGGCTAGTACTCTCCAACCATCTATTCTAAAGACCAATATGTCTCAAATTTAACAAGCAAGTTTCATTGACTGTCAAGTAGTTATCCTAACAGCATCACAACACCAAGTGAGATTCAAAGTCAAATTCACATCTCAATAAATTAACATAAACTAAACTCTTAACATAACTAACTTCAATTCAAACTCCAAAACTAACCAATAGTTCTAACTAATCCTTAACAATAACTCCCTAACGACTAACCTTCAATCTCTCACTATCCTAATTCCATCTAACTGTTACTAATAGAAAGATTAACAATGTTACAATTCAAAAACTAACTTCTTCATGAAATCCTTAACATTCGTGTCTACCCTAATTGCAAACAAACCTGCCCCAAACATTAACTGAATTAGTTACACTAACTTTACAACCAATAAACAATCAGTTTCAATCCAAAGTTCAAATATACCACCACATCCACTAACTTTACAACCAATAAACAATCAGTTTCAATCCAAAGTTTAAATCTATTAGTTCAGAAAAATGAAAAACCAAGAGAATAATCGAGAAAAATGAAAAACTTCAAATACCATAAAAATGGTGGAAATGCGCTGACAGTGGAGGTGGAGGACGGAGATGAACGGAGGACGGCGACGAACGAAGGCAATGGACGGAATGCGTCGATAGTGAATAGAGCAACGTTCGCGAGAGGGAAAGAAGGAAAGAAGGATACACGATTGTTCTGTTTTTGGAAAAATTCTGGTGGGTATTTTTAAATTTATTCTACTTAAACCTATAGCAGCGCTTTTGCATGGCCTTTAGCAGCGCTTATGAAAAGCGCTCTCTAAGGTCTGCCTTAGGCAGGACCTATAACAGCGCTTTCTTTTGTACCCCTTATAGAAGCGCTTTTGTAGAAAGCGCTTTCTTAGACCCCCTTTAGCATTGCTTTTAGAAAGCGCTCTCGTAGGTTACACTTATAGCAGCACTTTAAAAAAGCGCTTTCTTAGGGCCTACTTTTAGCAGCGCTTTTCTTAAAGCGCTGTCTAAGGTATGCTATTTTTTTTTCTTTTTTTTTTCATGACTCTTTAGCAGCGCTTTTTCATAAAGCGCTGTCTTTTTATGCGCTGCCAAAAATCATTTTTGTAGTAGTGATATAGATGAAGTTAGTTTTAAAGAAATTGAAAATTGAAGTCAAGAGATCAATTAAATTGCAAACTGATAACACATAATCTATCAATTTAGTAAAGAATTCAATTTTGCATGGTTGGAGCATACATATTGGAGACAATTTATATTTCTTGAAGGAGCAAGTCAATCACGAAGAGTTAGAGCTTGTACATTTCTCTACTTCTGCACAATTGCAATGTGCTTACCAAAGGATTTAAAATTCGATTTTGATTCCAATGAATGTATTAAGTGTATTTGTTGTCAATTCATTAACATATGATTAAATTAAGGGAGCATGTTGTTTGTTAATCAGTCCTAGATTATTTAAAAGTTAGTTAATATGGTGGTTAGATAGTTATAACTAACTTCATATTTAATTACTAATAGTTATATATGTGATTCCTACTAGTTACATATGTGATTATTATTAACTAACTATGTGATTATTAATTAAAAATTAATTAGTTAGTAATATTGATCTTATATAAAAGATGTAACACTTGTATTATTGAACAAACATAATTGAATCCAATCATCAATTTGATTCTTTATTTACTCTTAGCCTAATTTCTTATAGAGAAAGAAAGCTCTTACTTTAACACTAATATGGTTACGTAGATTCGATCATAAAAAGATAATTTTCCTACTATATTATTTTACCATCAGCATTTACGAATAAAATATTATTACTCTCTCAGTTTTAAAATAATTATTGTTTTATAAAAAAAAATTATTTTAAAATGAACGTCATTATTATTTTATTTTTTCAAGTGTATCTTTTAATTATTATTTTGTACACTACTTTTGATATATTGATAAGACTAATTTAATAAAAGTACAATATCTTATAATAATACTATTGCATTCTTTAAATCGTGTTAAAAAACCACATTGATTTTTAAATGGATAGTGTAATATTTTTAAATATCTAAGCCATAGAAGGAAGCGTTTACAAGCAGTGGTAAAAAGACAAAAAAATACGAGCAAGAATGGCAAGATATTGCTTCACAAAAGCTAGTAGAAAGCAACAATGGTAAGATATTGCTTCACAAAAGATATAAAGAATGATTAGATACGATTGAGTTAAAGTATTCGGTAAGCAAGGGTCGGCACAAAGTTAATGCATGACACATGGTGTAACCTTAGTCACTCAAAAATAACATCAAACCAGAACCATATACATACTACTAACATAGTATCCTATCAAAGACAGCATTATGAGGCAATCATAGTAACATAGATTGACTTAATAATTAATTGATAGATATATGATGACATTAACATCTACGGTGTTTGAGGAGATTTAAAGTTGTCTAAAATATAAGTGATGCATTACATCACTCTTATCTCTGCATGCATGCTGGCACATTTGATTGCATGATTGAGCACTTAACCACACCTAAACAACCACGCACGTATATGCATAATGCATGCCATTTTGCTTTCTTTCAAACACAACATTGGTTCACTTATTTACGTAAACCTTTAAAATGCTATCTTGAGACGCATGCATGCACGATGGCCCGTTCTTTTGTTTCACGTTAAGTTAGTGCTTTTTGTTATTCTTGGATTTGTCCTCACTTCAAATTAAACCTCAACGTTGCTAGACATTTGGAACAAACTCATTCATATGATTTTTGTGTGTGGGATATCTTGCATTAGAATGCGACATTTTGCTAAAATCATGTACCAAATCAAAAGCCACAAGTCCCGCTAAGATTGGATTTTTTATTAAAAATATCACAGTTGTCTTGTTCTGTTCATATGAAACATTATGTGGTCCAAAATAAGTTCTATGATTGATGCTACTAATTTGACATTATGATGCCTTTTCCTCTTGGAGAAGTGAACATATGAAAAGAGTTTATTAATAGTTGCTTTTTATTTTGGTATAATTGTATGGTATGTCAATTGCATGATTAGAGGTCAATTTTGTAAGGTGTACGAATGTGTACCTATAACTAACCAAAAAAATCTGCCAAAGTAGCGAGAACTTGTGTTGGAAAAGATCTCCAAACACGTAAAATGGACGCCACTAAAATAAATAAAATTAGTGACAAAAAGAAAGAGAAATATCTTTGTAATTTATTGGTAATTTAGGATATGCATATGTTAGAAATATTGATAAAGTTGAATGGTTGACAATTAAATCGTGAACGAAATCACTTTTTTTAAAAGTATTTCAAACACTCTTAAATATGTGTTAGAGTTGGAACACAAAAATATTCAGGATAATTCAGCCTTATACCGAATTTGCACAAGACCGACGAAAATTTGATTTGTAGCAA